TCAGTGAGTCTGGGTTTTGAAGCAAACGCCATGCTTGTCTAGCCAGCTGCATAGCCAGATTAAAGAGCTCAAATTTTTTGAAACCCAAACCCCCATGCTTTTTGGTTGAGTCATGTCCTTCCAAGAAACCCAATGCGGCTTCCGTTGACCTTCTTTGCTCCCCCACCAAAATTTACTTATGAGCATATTCAAATGTTCACACAACCCTCTTGGTAAGTTGAAGCAAGACATAGAGTATACTGGCACCGCCTGAGCAACCGCCTTAACAAGAACCTCTTTTCCAGCCGTGGACAGAGACTTCTCTATCCATCCTTGAATCCTACTCCACAATCTATCCTTCAAATATTTGAAAGGACCATTCTTTGAGGAACCGATGTCAGAAGGCATACCCAAATATTTTTCATTCAGTGTCTCATTTGGTACATGCAAGAGGCCCTTTATGTCATTGCGGATATTTTCTGGAACCCCTTTGCTGAAGAAGATAGATGATTTTGCATAATTAATTCGCTGGCTACACCTCCATCGCTCACATACTATTCGCCTTGAAAAACAGCAGGTTGTCATCTGCAAATAATAAGTGGTTTACCGGTGGCGCCGAGGCAGCCACTTGAAGCCCACTCAAGTTTGATGACTCACTTCTTGATTTTAGGAGGCACGAAAGGCCCTCTGCTGCTAACAAGAACAAGTATGGAGACAACGGGTCCCCTTGTCGGATTCCACGAGATGGTTTAAACTCTTCTAGTTTCTTCCCATTTGACGCCATCTATGCGTCCATCGACAACTCCTTCCCACTATGTGCATGTGTCTGCTCCTACACATTATCCGACTCCATCTCGTAAAAAATACACTGACCTAGATTTTCTTGTGTAATAAAAGCCACATGAATTTGCTACATTTGGGGCGGGTGTGCCAAGGCCTTTTCTCTCAGTCTATACTTTTGTTGTAGCTATCGGCCCCCCTTCCCCATGGGCCCTTTGCGGTTAGAAAAAAAAAAGTAGTTGGCATGTAGAGGGTTTGAACCTGTGGGCTCAGTACAATGAATGAAGCAATTTGTTCAAATTAATTTGGCCGGTAAACAATATGTGTCGATAACTAGATGTACAGGAAAAAAAACTTTATGAGGAATAGGGTAGTTGTCCGTACACGGAGCCAGTGGTGAGCAATGGCGGTACCCATCTTGTGGAGCGACACGATTCGATAGCCGGTGATGATACGGGGAAGGCGTTCATTCCTGCAGCAATACCGTTAAGAGGGTCAAGTCGACGAAAGCAGCTAAGTCAGACAGTGGTAGCTGAGTACAACATGGAGACATGTGAGGCAATGACGCAAGCAGTGGTGGTGCTGGTTGCGAGTAGAGGAAGACACTAGTCGCCATGGCCATGCGCGAGAGGAGGCAAACACTGGTCGCCAAGCCAATGCTTCTGGACTAGCTTTAGCACGCTGAGCCTACCACGCATTATAAAATCTCAATTTCTTGTGTTATGACGTTCAGTGTATCTATATTTTCCTATGAACTTAATCATCAAGACATGTACTCCCTCCGTAAACTAATATAAGAGCATTTAGAATACTAAAGTAGTGATCTAAACACTCTTACATTAGTTTACAGAGGGAGTATGTGCAACCTACAGACCAAGAACTGGAATGAACAAACAGATGTCCTGGAATAAGGATTGGACCAATGTCTTAAGAAAAATAAATTTAGACACGCTCGCCGTGATACAGATACAGAAGAACCAACGGATAATTTCAGCCAGAAGGGCTCGCGCGCTCTAGGAGAGATAGAGCAGGGACCAAAACAGAAAAAAAATGAGAACGTTTGCACTGAAGCAATGCACAGGCCAAGGACCAAAGTTTAATTTGTAAGAATTGGCAGGGGCCACGCGAACGCGTACCCCCTCTACCACAAATTACGACGTTCATTCTCCCACTTGTGGAGATGATAAGTCAACGCGCCCACCAAGTGCAATGTGGGCCATTGGCTTAGGCCACGGGCCTTGTTGATAGTACGTCGACCCCGTCCAGGTAAGTATGGAACCATGGCGCACCTGCCTCTGCCTTTATAGCCAGCTCTCCCACCCGATTCCCCTTGGCTAGGCGAGGTGGGACTAAAACCAGCGAAGCGCAGCAGCCGCGTGCGAGCGGAACGGCAGGCACGGGAGCGCGGTGCTGCAGCAGGCTGGTTTCGGTGGGCTGGCGTTCGCTCCGTCTGGGCCTCATGGACGCAGGAGGGCAGGATGACTTGGGCCTTGAGAACAGGCGGACGGCCTGGTGCTGGGTGTTCGTTCCCTCAATAAAAAACAAAACTTGTGCTCGTACTGCTCGCGTGTTCTCTCTCGTACCGCTGCTCGAACTCATGCGTTGTGGCCTGTATAGCTGATAGAAGTGCCCATGTTGACACGATCGGTGGCCGAGATCACACACAGGAGAGTTCGGGGCCTGTAGAGCTGATAGAAGTGCCCATGTTGGCATGTTGCTGACTGCTTCAGGAGGCCAGCCGATTTGAAAGTTGAAAGTGCTAACAAAAGAACGTGTTTATGCAGGTGCACCGTACTCGAGACGCAAACGGCGCGGCTTGCGAAATACTCCCTCTCTATCCCAGTATCAAAAAAGTCAAAAGTGGTTTAACTAAAGAGGTAAATACACTAGAAGTCTTGAAACTTGCGTGTGACGGTCAGTTTAGTGCACAAACTTACAAAATACGTGTTTCTAGTCATCAAACTTGCGCGGGCATGCAAATACGGTCACATCTCCCGTACGTGGGTGTATTTGCTGCCTACGTAGCATGCCAGTGTGGCCAGGGCCCATTGTCAGTGGCTAGTGCACGTGATGTTTTTTCTGGAGAAACATCCACGTTTTTTTACTTTGTACAAAAGCACTCCAACAATAGTGTGTTCGCTGTAAATATATTGGGCCAGAAAAAATGGGACGAAGTGAGTTCGAAAAAGTGAACTATTGTAATGGCGCTAGCGACCTAACCACCACAACTGATCATGCTTACTGTTTCATTTGGGCTACTAAGGTGTATCACCTCTTGGATAAAAGTACTCATTCTGAAGATATTTTCTTTTCTCTAGATTTTTCAAATTTCAAATTATTCAGATTCAAAAAAAAATCGTCTGATTTGTTTGAAAGAAAATTACGTACATTCCTTCTGCACTACATTTTCTTGTATCTATATTTCTAATTTAAAATTATTCAAATTCAAAAAAATGATTTTTCCAGAAATAAATTACGTAAATTCATCCGGACCTATATTTTCTTTTATTTGGTTTTCCGATTTAAAAATATTCGAATTCAAATAAAATTTTCACAGATTTGTTCGAAAGAAATTTACATACATTCATTATGAACTATATTTCTTTTATATAGAATATTCAAATTCAAAAAATTATATGATTTGTCCGAAAAAAGACTTACATTCATTCTGACCCATAATTCCTTTTCTCTAGATTTTCAAATTTCAAATTATTCGAACTCAAACAAAATTTTGTTGATTTGTCCCTAGAAAATGTGTATATTCATTGTGCACTATATTTACTTTTTCATATTTTTAAATTTTAAATTATTTTAATGCGAACAAAAATTTAGTTGATTTCTCCAAAAAAAAAACTATGTACATAATTTTTTACATATAATTTTTATCTATATTTTCGAATTTATAATAAATTCTGTTGATTTGGCCTAAAGAAATTGACATATATTCATTATGAACTAGATTTTGTTTTATCTAGATTATTCAAACTCAAACAGAAAATTAGTTCAGTTGTCCAGAAATAATTGCGTATATTCATTCTGACCTATAATTTCATTTATCTAGATTTTTGAATTCAAAATTATTTGAATTCAAACAAAAATTTCATTGATTTGTCCAAAGGAATTTACGTACATTCACTCTCCGCTATATTTTTTATCTACATTTTTAATTTAAAATTATTTGAATTCTTACAAAAATTTAGTTTATTTGTCTAGGAAAAGTACGTACAATATGTAGGTCAAGTTGTTATCAAAGCGAGGCAGGTCATAGCAGGTCTTCTCCTTGAATCCCACTGTCGGTTCATCAATTTTCATTATATTTGAGGATTTTTTGGTAAATAAATAAAATGCAAGGGTGCTTTCTAAAGAAAAAAAAGATAGTGCACACGGGTTATCCACCGCTGACAGTGGGCCCCTGCCATGTTGGCACGCCATGTGTGCACATGACACGGCTGAATACAATAGAAAGCATCGTATATGAACGTAGTGACAAGTTAGACAACCAGAAACACGTATTTTACAAATTTATACACCAAACTGACCATTGTGTGCAAGTTCTATGACTTGCGGTGCATTTACATCTTAACTAAATTGGTTTACATCTGCGATGAAAATGAACCTTGGGGTGTGGCAAGTACACCAGTAATCTCGTGGTAAGAGAGGTCATGCCCTTTTTCAGCCTAAGAATACGTGATGCTTTCAGGTGAAAAGGCGATTTACTCAATTTTCCTATGAATTTTCAGTGCGACATGTCTGTCAAGTTATGAATCTAGCAAACCACTACAAGGGGGAACATAAAAAATCAGCGCCAGCAAATACACCTTAGGAAATGAATTATGAACCGACAAGATCAAAGTGCTTCTCTCTGACGGAGTTATCTAAAATGCACCTATGAATGTTCTGCATACTGTAGAACACTATCACAATGAACACGAGATGATGGCACAAAAAATAATAATAAAAGGCTCTATTACGAGTTCAAATATAATTACAGTCTTAGGGTGTCCTTCGACTGCATATAGCTAGAGACCATAATAAGAATAACACGCTAACATGACCGTCCCAAACTCCCAAACCATCCATCCCACACCAGCACAATCACCACGCCACCTGATACAAAACCATGCCTACGGTAAATATCCACACCAAACGTCTCACCCGTGCACAACACAACCAGCATAAAAGCTCATTCCCCCTGGGCAGTTCAATGGAAAAAATACTGCAACAACTGCATCCACAAAGTTCTACTGCTGCTTGCACTCCGTCGGTTGCTCGGCGTTCCCTTGTGCGCCACCCTTTGCAGGTCCCTGGTGGACGATGTACCATGCATTGTGAGATGACATGATTGCTAAACTGGAACCAGGCAAGTGTTTGAGATTATTAGTGGAGAGTTTGTACCTTCGGTTTGCCCGCCACCTGCTCAGCCAAATACAAAAGAAACGTGTTAGCAAGGCCAGTTGAACACAGTAATGTCGCAGAGAGCAGAAATAGGTACTTCTATGGCTGCAAGATAAGATTACCTTCTTCGTCGGCTTGCTTAGCTCTTCCTCATCTTCATCATCGTCTTCGTCCTCGTCCTCATCATCCTCATCATCTTCTTCATCATCATCATCATCGTCGTCGTCATCCTCGTCACCATCTTCCATATCATCGAAATCCTCAGCTTGCACAGCCTCACCAGTAAACCAAGAAACAGCATGAGGGATGATCTTGTCCCTTATGGTAGACCTACAAGTCAAATTCCAACAGCAGCGCAAAATCAGCAAGAGGGGCACTATGCTAAGACCATAATATACAGCTCAATGTGCAGAAATGGAATTATATACAGGACGATGATCTCTGGTTCCCATTAAAAAAATGCAGCAGATGATGAACAGCACTTACCCAATGTCATAATCATGCTCCATTTGACCCTGAAGCTCATCAGCCTACATCACAGAATGAAAGAAAAAGTTGAGTATGAATTGTGAACAATGCATAGTCTGCTCTCTGTGAATTAAGCAATGAATCTTGAACATACGGCTTCTTCATCAATGTCCTCATCATCATCAGGTACTTGTGGGGGGCTGAAAAAGTTGAAGAAGCTCTCGCACTCTTCAGTTTTAGTAATAGGTTTGGTGTTCTTTGAACCTTTCTTGGGTTTCTTCTTTAGAATCTTCTGTGTCACATTTTTCCCAGGATACCACTCAATTTCAGTCCTGCAGTACCCATGATGTGTGAGGCTAATAATAGATGTACATACAGTTATCATTTACAACCCCTACATGAAAACAACTAATAGGTAAAGAAATACCAACCCGATTGCTTTCTCCAAAATTGGGTCATCCTCATCAACCATATGATAGGATTTTGTTAGGACAGAGTTCTTGAAGAAAGGGTTTGTATCAATGAAAAACTCAAGCTTGAAACCCTTAGGGTCATCAATTCTAGACCACTTGATATCCTTTAGATATTTCAAAACAGGCTCATCACGCTCTTGGATCTAGAATTAAGCAAGCATACAGTCAGAAATGCATTAAGGGAGCTAAAAGAACACCTAAAAATACAGCACACTATGAATTACCTCCTCAGTCAGCACGTCATTTGTTTTCAAAGCAGTGAGCCAAAAATCTGGGATTCCTTTAGCTGAAAAAGAGGTTAACAGCACATCAGAATGGTGATCTCTAAGAGGAAGTGCAAACTTTGATTTCCATACCATCTGAATCTCCCCCCTCGGCAGCATTTTCACTGGTAGGTTCTTTAGCAGCACCATCAACCTCCACAACTCCATTTACAATGTCATACCTCTGAAACAACGCAAAACAATGGAACGATTTGCACATAAGGAAATGCACAGAAGTTATATCTTTTCACATATTCACCTGAAACGTTATAAACATGGAGTACGCGTACCTTAGCATACAATGGTTCATACAGCTTCTGGTACTTGGCTTCAAGGGCAGCCCGTTCCTCAAAAAACTTCGCCTCAATCTCATCATGTTGGCTCTGAAGTATTACACGGATAAATGTCAGTTCTCTGGGGCAACCAAATATCATACAATGAAATAGGAAATTTACTCAAGACATTGATCTATTCTGATCCAGCAAATATGCATAGAAATGGAACTTTTCAAAGATATACCATGGATAACTGATATGATACAGGACAAACTGGAAGCAATAAGGTTGACTGCACACAGAAAAATGCTAGGAAATGGGAACAATTCAAATGATGTAGCTTGTCTAAAGTTGGTCCAACCAACGTCAATATATATGCTAGCACCAAAAAATGCGAACATAGTTTGAATCATTTGATCCTGCATCTTAACCTAGCAAATATTTATAGTTCCAAACCTGCAAACATAAAACAAACTCCTGGAAGGCCTCATGTAAAATACAAAAGCTTGGGTCGCTTTACCATGAGGCAGAACACTGCATTGGGTTCTTGAGCTCAGCACTGAGATTTGAATGGCAAATTCAGAATGTTGTTCGGGTCAAACAAAAAGTTCCATGAAGCTAATTCTAGGCTGTTGGCAACGCAATATTCTTAAAGTAGATACTCATGGCAGCAGAATAGGACATAATGTATCTATTCAGTATTGAACTCCACAAGTACTTTTTCAGTTCATAATTCATATCCTGGCTTATTCTGTGTTTACCGTCCTAATGACTTAGCATTCACATTCCTTGCCTCACTCATCAGCACATAAGTAGGCCTAATCTACAAAGCGGCGTATTTATTCGGCCAAAGAATAACACCTATCTTTGTAAGCAAATGGCGAGGAACCGAATAGTTTCGTTACCAACAAATCAACCAGTAATCCTGGTCCAAAAAAAAGTACAGAAACTAAAACTGTTGGACTAAAAACGAATTAGCTAGCATATAACAGAACAAAACGAATTTAGTCCTTACAAATCAATTGCACCTAATACAAATAAAGTCACTATATTCATTTCGGATCAGCACTTCACCACATGAAGTGCTCCCGCACAGGGGCATCAGCGAACCAATCGCAACAGGAATGCTAAAATTTAAGGCAGGGGAAAGAATTGCATCTCAACCTGAATGCCCCTCAGAAACTCAACACGCGTCCTGACATTGGGCGAGAGCGACTCGAGCACGTCCGCGTGCTGCCCCGCCAAGCTCTGCAGCTTATCCTGCAGTCAAATCAGATCGGAGAAATGAGCAGCCGCGGTAACCGGAACCAAAACACGCCACCAACCATCACAGCGACCAAGAACAACGGAATCGAACAGGAAATGAGTACGCCTCTGGGCCGAATAACGAGTAACCGTACCTTCAGGGCATTGACGAGACCGACGCGGTCCTCGGCGCTGAGGGCTGCAGGGAAAGCAGACCAGATGGCGGATCGATTAGGGGGGCGGAACGGCGAGGGAAAAGGGGGTGGGGCGAGTCAGGGGAAGAGGGGGTTACCGGCGGCGGCGGCGGGGAGGGAGCTGTTGAGGTCGGAGAGGTCGAGGTTCTCCTTCTCGCCGCCCATGGTCGGAGCTCCGGTGGGGCCTGGTTGGACTTCGCCGCCGCGCCGCCGAGGAGAGGAGGGAGGAAGCCCTAGGGAGAGCGGGAGTTGGGCGGCGAGGAGAGAGCGAGTAAAACCCTAGCCTCGGGGTATAAGAAGGGCGAGGTGGGCGCGTTTTGCGTTTTGCACCCCCGGTGTGTCTGCAGCTACAAGACGGGCCGCGGTTAGAGTTCGGAAATTCGCATGGAATTCTAGACTTATTTGCAAAATATTAGAGCTAACACTGACCCGACTGTGCTTAAGGCAGCTCCAAGGCTATTGCCCTCAAAAGAAAAATACTCCAACGCTGTTCATCGAAATGCCCGACAATGTCACGACACTTTTTACCATCTAATGAGAGACGTCAGATATCCTCGGATCGATATGAACCACAAAAATCCTTTAAACCCTAGAAAAGAAAAACTCCTGCGTTGTTCATCAAAATGCCCGCCAATGTCCGGACACTTTTTGTCGTCTAATGAGAGACATTAAATGTCCTTGGACCACTTTGGACCACAAAAATTCCTGTAAGCCAGAAGCAAACATGGGAAGCTTTGAGGGAGTCCGGACAATCCAATTGACCTGCTGTCAGTTGGACTACGTGAGACACATGTGCTTTTTCCTCTAGCTTCGCCTCACTCACTCCCGTTGTCCGGATTTGATGACTACGTGCCAGCGGGCATTGGGTGTGTTTGTTTTGATGCACCACGTTGGAGTTGCCTTTGCTCTTACTGACTAGGGTTTCAAAATTGACGTCCTACCCTTTAACCAAAACATGCAAGAAAATATAGAACTCTTTGCAATTTTGCGTTGTAATGATGACTTCAATTCACCCGAGATATTGTAACTTTACACGAAAGCCACAAATGAAGCAACTTCCCTCAAATTTGTACATCTTCCTTCAACTCATATGCCATCATATTGATCACATCTTATGTAAACTAGGTTGATTTGTGTCATCCGCTATGCCCGAGGGACGAGTGTTTAATTGTTAGTTTGGGCATTAAAGTCGCTACGTGCCCCAAAGATTTGAAGATGGTTTTTATAAGTTATGCCGACAAAGGAGTGAATGTGATAATTCTGTTGTTTCGCTATGTTTCAAGCAAGTAGTAGTGTCCATCTTGACAAAAAGGTAATATCACATTCTGTATCATAACAGGATGTTTTTTTAACAATATATCACAACAACATGATGTACTTGTAGCAGTAAAAATCACAAAACAACCGCATTACAAAATGATGTCTAGGTAAACAACTCAGAATGACAAGAACATAGGGAACATACTTGGAACCGGTTAATAAATTAAGTGAATGCATTAATTGTCATTGACCACCACCAACTAGTACTACAAAAACGGAAGGCATGGTATTGGACACTAAAATAGTTCCTAAAGCTTTTACAACACATGACTTGCCATACTAAGTCAAGTTCACGCGACACTCGAGTTAGTGTAGCTTGACACAATGCTGCCATAGAGACGTGCCATAACATGTGGGGACGGGAGGAGGAGTACACATGTATACTATTCATTTTGAAGATGATATTCACAAACTAAGGTTTTCTCAAAAAAAAAATTGAAGTCTTTATGGAACACTTTTGGTCGTATCTTGTCAGAAACTAAAATTTCTTACCACATAATGTATAGAAGACTGGTCACAATTTCACTTCTCCGCATCTCAAAGTAGGCCACATATGGAACAAATGACTAGGACAACTCAAGCACCCATCCACAACAAGCACACATGCATTTCCATTTTATACCGAGATGAAAAAGGAGTGAAGCTAATGGGATAGACATTCATATTGTGTCTGCGCATGCTCTATAAATTTTCTTGCAAAAAGAGAAAAATGTGCGAACAAAGAATAGTACAAATTTCAATGCTCTAAAAAGAACATGGCAAAACTTACTTTTTTAGCAAAAGGCACAACATCTTTTTTCATCTTATGGGATCTCGCATATACCCATAAAAACAACATATACATATAAACCTCTTTCCATTTTTAAAATAATTATAAATTTATTTTTACATGAGGAAGCATATGCTAATGAGCCGTTTTGAAGATCCGGCAAAGATCAACTCCCCATCCAAACACAAGCATCGTCTTCCTCCTGCACCTTTCCTACCGATCTCCTGACCCTCCTGACCCAAAGAACTCCTTCTGATCTGTCATTGCCTTCCCTACAGCCGCCGCCCCATCGTGCCTTAGCACCAGACACTGCCTACTCAATTTTGCCATTAGAAGTTGTTGGGAAACGTTGCACGGAAAACAAAAAAATCCTACGCACACGCAAGATCTATCCATGGAGATGCATAGCAACGAGGGGGGTGTCTACGTACCCTCGTAGACCGTAAGCGGAAGCATTTGACAACGCGGTTGATGTAGCCGAACTTTGTTCGCGATCCAACCGATCGAGTACCAAACGTACGACACCTCCGCGTTCAGCACACTTCAGCTCGGTGACGTCCGCACCTTCTTGATCCAGCAAGACGATGAGGTAGTGGATGAGTTCCGACAGCACGACGGCGTAGTGACGATGACGGTGAAGTTATCTCCGCAGGGCTTCGCCTAAGCACTACAAAAATATGATCGGGGGTGTAAACGATGGAGGGGGGAACCCCACACGGCTAACCAATTTGTCTGGGGTGTACTAGGCGCCTCCTCCCACATATATATAGGTGGGAGGGAGAGGGGAGAGGCCAAGGGGCACCCCTAGTAGGTTCGAATCCTACTTGGGCTTGCCCTAGGTCGTCCCCCCTTCCTTGTTTTGGCGCCAATGGGAAGGAAGGGGGAGGTGCCCCCCTTTCCTTCTTCTAGGGTCGGCGGCTAGGGAGAGGGCGCGTCAGCCCCTCTGTGGGCTGGTGTGTGCCTCCCCTTGGCCCATTAGGCCCATAGACCTCTCGGGGCCTTCCGGAACCCCTTCCGATGACCCGATGACTATACGGTTTTCTCTGAAACACTTCCGGTGTCCGAATACCATTGTCCTATATATCAATCTTTACCTCCCGACCATTTTGAGACTCCTCGTCATGTCTGTTATCTCATCCAGGACTTCGAACACATTCCGTCACCAAATCATATAACTCATATAACACTATATCATCAACGAACATTAAGCGTGCGGACCCTACGGGTTCGAGAACTATGTAGACATGACCGAGACACCTCTTCGGTCAATGACCAATAGCGGGACCTGGATGCTCATATTGGCTCCTACATATTCTACGAAGATCTTTATCGGTCGCACCGTTATGACAACATACACAATTCCCTTTGTCCATCGGTATGTTACTTGCCCGAGATTCGATCGTCGGTATCCTGGTTCAATTTTGTTACCGACAAGTCTCTTTACTCGTTCCGTAATACATCATCTCGTAACTAACTCATTATTCATTTGCTTGCAAGGCTTCTTATGATGTGTATTACCGAGAGGGCCCAGAGAAACCTCTCCGATACTCGGAGTGACAAATCATAATCTCGATCTATGCCAACTCAACAAACACCTTTGGAGATACCTGTAGAGCATCTTTATGATCACCCAGTTACGTTGTGACGTTTGATAGCACACAATGTATCCCTCCGGTATCCGGGAGTTGCACAATCTCATAGTCGAAGGAATATGTATTTGACATGAAGAAAGAATAGCAATAAACTAAATGATCATTATGCTAAGCTAACAGATGGGTCTTGTCCATCACATCATTCTCCTAATGATGTGATCCCATTATCAAATGACAACACATGTCTATGGTTAGGAAACCTTAACCATCTTTGATCAATGAGTTAGTCTAGTAGAGGCTTACTAGGGACACAGTATTTGTTTATGTATTCACACATGTATTTAAGTTTCTGATCAATACAATTCTAGCATGAATAATAAACCTTTATCATGAATAAGGAAATATAAAATAACAACTTTATATTGCATCTAGGGCATATTTCCTTTAGTCTCCCACTTGCACTAGAGTCAATAATCTGGATTACATTGTAATGAATCTAACACCCATGGAGTCTTGGTGCTAATCATGTTTTTCTCGCGGAAGAGGCTTAGTCAACGGGTCTGCCACATTCAGATTCGTATGTATTTTGCAAATCTCTATGTCTCCATCTTTGACCTTTTCATGAATGGAGTTGAAGCGTCTCTTGATGTGTTTGGTTCTCTTGTGAAATCTAGATTTCTTCGCCAAGGAAATTGCTCTAGTGTTGTCACAAAAGATTTTCATTGGACCCGATGCACTAGGTATTACACCTAGATCGGATATGAACTCCTTCATCCAGACTCCTTCATGTGTTGCTTCCGAAGCAGCTATGTACTCCGCTTCACACGTAGATCCCGCCACGACGCTCTGCTTGGAACTGCACCAATTGATAGCTCCACCATTCAATATAAATATGTATCCGGTTTGTGACTTAGAGTCATCCAGATCAGTGACGGAGCTAGCATAGACGTAACCATTTACAACAAGCTCTTTGTCACCTCCATAAATGAGAAACATATCCTTGGTCCTTTTGAGGTACTTCAGGATGTTCTTGACCGATGTCAAGTGATCCACTCTTGGATTACTTTAGTACCTCCTTGCCAAACTTATGGCAAGGCACACATCAGGTCTGGTACACAACATAACATACATGATAGAACCTATGGCTGAAGCATAGGGAATGACTTTCATTCTCTCTATATCTTCTGTAGTGGTCGGGCTTTGAGTCTAACTCAATTTCACACCTTGTAACACAGGCAAGAACCCTTTCTTTGACTGATCCATTTTGAACTTCTTCAAAACTTTATCAAGGTATGTGCTTTATGAAAGTCCTATTAAGCGTCTTGGTCTATCTCTATAGATCTTGATGCCCAATATATAAGCAGCTTCACCGAGGTCTTTCATTGAAAATTTCTTATTCAAGTATCCTTTTATGCTATCCAGAAATTCTATAGCATTTCCCATCAACAATATGTCATCTACATATAATATCAGAAATACTACAG